CACCCTGTGCTGCGCTCCATTCCAGCAATGGAGACGTGAGGCTCCTGCCGCAGGCTACAATTAAGCCACAGGATGGGGCCAGGGGTTAATGAAGAGAAAGGAGGATGTGTAATGACAAAGTTAACTGGCTGGGTAATTCTCTCTCATGCTCAGAAGAAGATGGCAGGAGACAGCTCTTTATTCCTGGACCCCACGGAGCAAGCACCTCAATGTCAATGGGGGTCTTTTGCACCAGGGGGCCCTACTCTATGTCACCTGCAGTGACCTCCTGCCTGCTGCCTTGAGCAGAACTGCTGCTTCCAGGCTCCCCTGGGACCTCCCCTGGTGCCCCATTTACTCCCTCCCCAGATACACTAATAGGCACAGGGATGCACCTACCATGCAAGACTCTCTGAGGGGAGTTGGGGGGAGCATTCTGCTCATCTGACTCATCCCCTACATACACTACTGGATGAAGGGCTGTGCCTATAGCCAGGCACTGCCGACCATGGCAAAGACTTCTGGGCTGGGGGGTGGGGGCAGGGTGTCATTCTGGCACCTAAATTGGCACCCGGACCTGGTACCCCAGTTATGCTACCAGAGCAGTGGATCTGGTTGGCTCCTTGTTTATATGGAAAATACACAAAGTATTACATGCCTCACCTTGGAGAGGCAATAGGCTGGCCCTGAATTAGAAGCTGAGCCAGGGTGATGCATAGAGTGCAGTTTTCAGAAGGATGCTAGATATTAGATGGAAATCAAACAGGCTGGAAAAGCTTGCACAGTATGAAGTGAAAATGCCCAGCGAATGGTGGTTTCATAATTGAGGCACATGGGGGGGAAGGAAAGACACCCAGAGTCTATACCCAGCTCGACCACTACATCACTGAAGCTCACGGAGCCTTGGTTGATCCATCTGTGCAATGGGACCCTGCAGTTCACTGAAGGTTGGGGCAGCAGGCGTAAGGGAAGTGTCGATAACAAGGAATAAAACTGTAAGGACTGCATCTGGAATGCCTGCTATAAGGCCTGCATTCAGTTCTTGGACAAAAGGCCAGACCCTATTCTATTCTGTTAGTGGCTTTAGGTACCTAAGCATGATCTATTCTACCCTGCTCAAGTCCCTTAAAAAAAAAACCCCCAAACAAAACATCGCCATGTCTATATTTGTAACATGCTGCCATTTCAGCCTTAAGACTAAGCCACAAAAAGCAGGAAGCAGGAGAATGAGCCAGTACCCTTTTCTGTTAACTTTTTCAGGAACTTATGTAGGGCAAAGTAAAACACCCGAGACACTTTCTAAGTGGAATAGGATTGGATCCAAAATCTGAACTGAGCCGAGCAAATTTATTGCACCCGTAATAAAAACTGGAATATGCTCAAGGTATTAGGGCAACAAGGGAAAAAATATAAGCAGCACAAATATGGTTTCTTCCTTTGCCTTGGGGGAACTACATTAAGATTTAACCTGAATGAGAGTGTAAAAAATCTTCTCAACATTTTCACTCAGATGCATGAACCCATATGATTCCAAGCCTAACAGTGCAAATGCAGGAAAGGACAAGGTCTGTGAGCAGCCCTGGAGGCAGGGGCATTTCCAGCCAAACCAAGTCATGAGGGGAAGAGTAGATTATCTGATTTTCTATTATCAGCCTGATGGAAAAAAGCGTGGCAACCCCCTTCCCTTTTCAGACACATACACAACCTCCTTGTGAACTGAATAGCGATCACAAAGTTCCTTTCAAGAAGCAAATTCCTGCCTACACGCCTCCTTTCTCTTTTCTTTCTGCTTTGCTAGCTCCGCAGCATGGCGTTTGTCTTCAATACGGTCTCTTTCTTTGCCTGGATTTCTGAGGGTGGAATTTCTCCTGCAGTTACTGGATTCCTTCCAAACCTGCCAATTTGTTTATTGACGCCACTTGATTATGTTCTCTTCTTCTTCCTCTAATTGTTCTTAATACTATTCCACCCCAGGTTCACGTGTTCTGTGTCCATGCCCCATGCATGAAACACACCTATTGCAATGGCCTGAAGCACAAGCATAGATCCAAATGCATTCAGACAAGGCCAAGGCCCCCATCCTACAAACACCCTGTATGCTTTTAACTTCACGTGCAACGTTAGTCTCATCGAAATCAAGGAGGCTACTCGTAAGCATAAAGCTAAACCCACAGTAAAGCAGCTGCAGCCATGTGAAGGCTGCGACTGGCACATGACCAGCTAACAAAATATGGGGTTTGTCTCCACCCCCAGCCCTGCACAAATCACACTTAATAGCAGGGTTCAAATTACACTTTGACTCTTGCAGGGGCTGCAAAAAAAATTAAACCAGGTCATTGATTAACAAGTCCACCTAAGTGAATGAGCAATTCGATCGGAGACTCCTCTGGGTTAAGATTTTCAAGTCTTACAGGGGGGTGCTCATCTCTTATGGGGGTGGGGGCCGAGCCCAGCCCCACCCAAGCTCCCTTTTAAATCACATCCTACTTAATACCCATGACTAAGGGCCTGACCCACTGCCTGGCCATGGGAAGACTTTTTTGACCTTGGTGAACTTTGGTTCAACCTCCAAGTCAAACTGTTTCTCTTAGTGAGGTTGCACAGAAGCTCCTGACAATGATCTCAACAAGGTAAGAATGCTTAGACTCTACAGATGAGGGATGTTGGGGATTTGCAAAGGATGTTATGCCCAGGACACAGCTCCCAATGGGATTCGAAGTCGGGCACTCAGTCCCCTCTGGTACCTTTGCAAATCCTAGGTGCTTCGAGGCAACTCGCAGAGAAAAATGAGGAGCAGCAGACCCTGTTCTCCCAAAAGGGACTGAACTAAACTGGCCAGTCCCAAATTGCACATGAATTTAAGCGTGTATATATCTGAGCATACTCCTGTTGACAGTGGCTCAGTAGATCGTGGACACGAGGTGAGTTGGGTTTCTCAGTCTAGGCCTTGGTGGGTAAATGACCATGTTGCTACTAGGAGGCTGAAGGAGAAAGGCTGAACCCACCTCTGACACCTGCCCTAAGGTCAGAGGAGGGCAGGCTCCCTTCCCTCATGGAGCCCAGGGTCCACCTGACAGATTCCTCGCCTTAGGGAGAAGCACAGGTAACATGCTCCTGACCCAGCCAGGAGTGGAAGGGCTGGGTGCTGGACTGCTGGGGCTTCTTTTCCAGACCTGAACACATTGAGCAGGTGCAACGTCTCACATGCCTGAGCCTTCTAGCCTAAGGGTGGGTAATTATTTGGGCCCCAGGCCACATAGGCAGTTCTGGGGAGGTGCTGCGGGATGGTCAGCATCCCACCCCCCGCAACAGCCTGAAGCCCACGTGCCTTGTGGCTCCTCCCTGCCACCAGCACCCAGCCCCAGCCTCAGCCTGCTCTGCCCCACCCTTTTAGGCAGCCCAGGTGGTGGGGGTGGCTCCTTTTGGTTGCCACCACCACTGGCCCCAGCCCCGTGGTGCTGGCAGGGATGCATAGCCCTGACCCCAGCCTGCCCCGTGCCCACTCTGGACTCAGCCCAGTGGAGTGGACCAGCTCCAGATCAGCCTTGGCCTTGGCCTGTCCTGAACTCACCTACCCACACTGAGCAGTGGCAGCAGCTGGGCAGATGCTGCTGCTGGGCCCTGGGGAAAAAATGTCAACCCTTCCCCCCCACTGCCAGGCCCTGGAGCCCACACCTGGGCTGTCCTACGGCTCCCCTCTGTCACCATCACCGCTGCCTCCAGGCTGCCCATCAGGGCAGCAGTGGTAGTGCTAAAGAGCCACAGGGCAGCCTGGCTGAAGGCTCTGGGCGGCTGCAGCAAGAGGGGCCCGGCAGCAGTGAGGGGAGGAGCCACTTTTCCCTGTGCCGAGCAACAGGTTCTGCCCAGCCGCCGCCACTGCTGCCCCAGCTCAGTGCGGGCAAGCGAGTCTGGAGCAGGCACGGGGCAGGTCGGGTCGGGGGCTGCGCACATGCGTTCCAGCTGGTCTCCTCTGCCAGGCCGAGTCCAGAGCAGGTGCAGGGTGGGCTGGGGCCAGGGCTGTGTGCGTGAGTCCCTGCCAGTACCACAGGGCTGAGGCCAGCATCAGTGGCAGACCGAAGGAGCTGCCACCACCGGAGCTGCCCCAGTGTGTGCCCTGGGGGTGGCGGGATGTGCCATGGGCCAGACAGTACCTGGGCAAGGTGAGACCAAGGAACCTGCCACAGGCCACACAGTTACTGATCTGGTCCGCAAGCTGTATTTTGCCCACCCCTGTTCTAGCCCCACCCCAGCTGCAACAGCTGCTCACACTCCACGACTTCAACCAGAAGTCTGACCTCACCAGCATTTCCCCAAACTATTGGCCCTATCCACCCCGCCACTGCATTCCCTCTCCCTGCCTCTCAAGCTCATACTGCTGTCTCTTCTTCCAGACTGCCCTGGGAGGCACCCATACCCAGGTCCCCCCTGGCTCCCACTGGATCACTGCCCCAGAAACTTCATCACTAATGCTAATCTCCATCTCCTCAGCACCAGTGGGCAGAGTGCGGTCAGCTTGTTCAACAGACTTTGCCTGTGTCTCTGAGGTCACCGCTGGGTCACTCTAATCTCTTCTCCTGCTCTGAAGTAGGGACCTTGGCAGCTACAGTACCAGGAGGGAACAAAACAAAATGCCCTGCAGGTGAACAAAGATCACTCTCTGCTGTGCAAGTTGGGGGAGGAAAGCGCTAGTGAGCCTGCAGCCTTCTCTGCTACGCTGGGGAACATGGAGCATGGGGCTGGAGGCACAGAGGTGTGACCCATTTGCACTTCCCTAGCGTATACCTCTCTCCTTTCCCCTAGGAAACCTGGGTCTCCTCCTGACAGCTTTCTGAACTAAAATGCATCAGCGGTACACTTCAGTTTAAAGTGTACCGCTGCCATTTTCTGTGTGTTGATGAGCATTTTGCCACTTATTGTACATGGCGTAACGCAGTTTGCATCAGCTTGCATCCAAAGTGGCACATCTCTGGTGTGTCACGGGACAAAAAGGTATGTTTATAAATGCCCTGGGTCTGTTACAGCCCCACAGACACTGGGTCATGTTTCCTGGGCCCAGCTACCCTTCCCTGCACACAGCTGAACAGGGGAAGGGAGAGGAGGGGCTCTGGGGACCTGTCCCCATGCTGGAGCCATTGTAAGAGGAGAGAGGCTGGTGAGCCCAGTGGAGTAGGAAGGGACCTGGTATAGGTCATGGAAGAAGGGGGCACAGTACCCAAGACAGGAGACACCCCCATGTCACACCAGTCTTTCTCTGTCCTGCAGATTGACATTTGCCAGGTAGATGATTACATAGGAGGGTGCATAGTTTATCAAGCCCCAAGAAGAGCAGTTCCAACCTCTGCCATCAGCCACTCCTCAAGCCTGATCTGCAGGGCCTCCACCACGGGTGATGGGCTGGTGTAGAACCTGGCCATGGCAGGGGCAAGTGGATACCAGGTAGTACCGAGGAGGTCTGGCTTCCCCCCAAAACCCTCCCCAAACAACCTGCAGGGACCACTCACAATGAGGCAGAAGTAGTGAGCTCAACCTGGCTGGAAAGCGCTGCCCACAACCCTGACAAAGGGCTTCTCTGCCAACTGAGACCCCATAGAGAGGGATGAGGTACGATTTGGGAACACAGAGTATTTTAAGCAGAGTGTGAAAAAAGAGAGCCAGCTGGTGCTGCATATAAAAACACAAGAGAGACAGAGGCAATGGAGACCAGGGTCTGAAGTGACCTTTTGATGCCTCTTAGTATCAGCCTTCTCTCCCCATCTGGAAAGGAAGCTTCCCTCGCTCCATGCCACCCCAGCACCACTACTTACAGGTTTCATAGCACTTGGGGTTGGAAGGGACCTAAACAGATCATCAGGTCCGAACCCCTGCTTGGGGCAGGAACGAGTGCTGGGGTCATACCACCCCAGCCAAATATCTATCCAGGCTCCTCCTGAAGACCCCCAAGGTAGCAGAGAGCACTACCTCCCTTGGGAGTCCATTCCAGAGCCTGGCAGCCCTGCCCATAAAGTAATGTCTCCTGATGTCCAGCCTGAACCTTCTCTCTAATAATTTGTGGCCATTATTCCTAGTAACCTCCGGTGGTGCCTGAAGGAACAGAGCCTCACCCTATTTCTGCTGGTCCCCCCCGGTGAGTTTGTAAACAGCTACTAGATCCCCTCTCAGCCTTCTCTTGCAGAGGCTGAATAGATTCAGGCCCTTCAGCCTCTCTTCGTAGGGCCTGACCTGCTGCCCCTTGACCATGTGAGTGGCCCTCCTCTGGACCCTCTCAATGCTAGCTACATCCTTCCTGAAGCGCGGAGCCCAGAACTGGATGCAGTACTCCAACTGCGGCCTAACCAATGCTGCATAGAGGGGAAGGATCACCTCCCTGGACCTGCTTGTGATGCATCTGCAGATGTACGACAAGGTGTGGTTAGCCTTACTGACTGCTTCCTTGCATTGGCAGCTCATGTTCATCCTGGAGTCAACAATGACTCCAAGATCCCCTTCTACCACTGTGTTGTTGAGAAGGGTGTTCCCAGCCTATAGGTATGTGTTGCTGGTTCCTTCTCCCTAGATGCAGCACCTTGCACTTGTCTGCATTGTATTCTATCCTATTCTCATCCGCCCACCTCTGTAACCTGTCTAGATCTAGCTGGATTCTGTCCCTTGTCTCCAGCGTGCTCACCTCACCCCACATCTTGGTGTCGTCAGCAAATTTGGACAACATCTTTCCACACCCACATCCAGATCGCTGATAAAGATGTTGAATAGTACAGGCCCCAGGACCAAGCCTTGGGAGACTCCACTGCCTACATCCCCCCAGGTCAAAAATAACCCATCCACCACCACTCTCTGGGTGTGACCTAGTCAATTTGCCACCCATCTGACTGTGTAGGCACCAATGCTACAGTCACCTAGTTTTGTTTGAGAGAATGTGGTAAGAAATGGTGTGAAAGGTCTTCTTAAAGTCCAGGAAGATGACATCCACTGCGACACCCTCATCCAGGGACTTTGTTAC